CCGGGGTTAAGGACGCCGTCTCCGGGGTGCAGGCTGGGGAGCTCGGCCCTGGAAAGACACAGCAGCCATGACACAGGTGACAGGGGTGGTGTCTGATCTCTTCTGCCCTGGCTGCCTTGTGTGATGGGGCCACTGGTGGCTCGCCAGCTGCTCTTGCCCTCTTCTGGGGCTGAGTGCCTGGCTCTGGCCTTGGCTGCCCACCACCACAGCAATATCCATGCCAGGCTGCTCCAGCCATGCTGAGCTGCTGGTGCCCTGAGACCTCCAGCCCTGGTGCAAAGGCACTGTCATCCCCATGGATGCTGTTTGGTCCCACCACTCACCTGAAGTGGGAGGAGCCGTATTTCTGGAAAACAAGAGAAAGAGAGAGTCAGTTGGTGGTGGGAGCCTGACAATTCAGCAGCTGTTCTGCATGGTCACAGCTGCAAACATTTGTGCCCCAGGCTGGAGCAGCCACATCTCTCCTGGGAGAGTTATATAAGAAGACAGGTTTCTCCCTTGGGAGAAGCTCTGGCTGAGCAGAGGACACCAGCATCTCATTCCTTATGGTGTTCCAGCTATGCTTGGTGATGGTTCCCACCACCCAGTGCAGGGCTCAGGGCTACAGGCAGCAGGGTGAGGGCTGGAGACCCCAGCTGACTGTCACTGCCTTCACCACTGAGCCCACTCACCCGGATGAAATCAAGTTGGCTTTCATTGCTGAGGGCCTCCAGAGAGCTCTGCATCTCCTGAAGCCTCTGCAGGGCATCCGATGTCTGCTTGACCTGGGACTCAATGGAGGTGATGAGCTGGGCTGCCTTCCCCTCAATGCTCTCCAGGAAGGTAGCCTTCTCCTCGTCGATGTACCTGTGCAGCTCCTGGAACTCCTTCCGGATCACCCACTTGAAGACATCTGCCTCGTTCTGCCAGGAGACAGCAAGTGGCTGTGGGGGCTGCCCTGCTCCATCCCCTTACCCCAGCTGTGGAGTGTCAGAGATGCCACCAGCAATGTCAGCATCTCCCACCAAACTGCCCTCCACTGGCTTTCCAAATAAAGAGCAGTTCCATACAGCAGGAGCTAGGCTAGATGGTGTTTCACCCTGCTCACCACCAGAGCATCCCTGCCATCCACCTCTCCCACTCCAGCCCTGGGTCTGAGTCCCTGTTGTCCCAAGCTGCTTCATCAGAGCCTTAAAAGAGCTGCAGGATCCCTCAGCTCCCAGGGAATAACCTGTGAGAAAGTGCAGCTCCAGTTGCAGTTGGGTTGAGCTATTCTGAGGAGCACCAGTGGGAAGCTTTAGCCTCAGAGGGATGCCAGGAGGTCCCCGGGAGATGTCCACTGTCTGGGACCTGGACAGGCAGCCAAACCAGGTGTAAACTCAGTTTGACACCAACGGTGTTGCTCTGCCTGGGACCCCTGCTCTGAGTGGGTTCCTCTCCACCTGTTATCTCCCCACCTCCAAGGACATTTGGTCACATCAGCTCTACCAGGAGACTCAGTGAGGGTAACTTCAGGCCTTCCTGAAACAGGGCTGTGCCACCAGAGAGGGCTGTATCACCCTTCCTGAAAACAGGTCTATGTTTAATTCCCAAGTTTCATGAAGAACACCAGGCTCAAGGAGCAGGGTGGAAGATCAGCCCTCACTTATCCCAGGGAAGAGGGAAGAGAAGGAGAGGGGCAGAGGACACAAGCAGGAGAGACCTGGGAACTGAGGTTGTTCCAGGAGCTGTGTGGGACACAAAGGACTCTGGGACATAGAGTCCACCCTTGGCACACATATCCTGGGCTGCATCACCAGCAGCGTGACCAGCAGCAGCAGGACACAGGAACTGCCTGAAAAGTGAGGGTGAAGGAGGAACACTCGTTGGGCCAAAGCCCAGCAGAGGATGCACGACAGCAGAGGAGGAGGCTGCAATGGCCCGGAGGAACCTGGTGGTGAGCAGGCTGAGCCTCAGCCAAGCACTGCAGGACACTGATGTGCCCTTCAAGGCAGGAAGGACAAACCCAAATTTAGTCCAAATGTAGAAGCCAAGATGCCAAGTGTAGCAATGCAGTGAAAAGAGAGAGACAGTGCTGGCAGGCCTGGGCAGACTGCCTGAGAGGCCAGCGAAATGTCCCCTCTGTGACTGCATTCCTCCCATGAAGGGACCCTCTGAGGTCCTTTCTTGCAGCACCACATGGCACTGGCACAGGGAAAAAACACATGAGATAATCTTTGTGCTCCTCAGCAGCCACGGCCAAGAGAAGTCCAGCAGCCACTCACACAGCCCAGCTCTCTCCAGCACCTTGGAAGAAGCATCCAGGGTGCAGCTGATCCATACATTGCATCCTGTGGAGAGAGAGGGATGCATCAGTAGGCTGGAGGGAAGGGATCCATCCAGAGGAACCTGGACAGGCTGGAGAGGTGGACTTGTGCAAATTGCATGAAGTTTGACAATGCCAAGTGCAAGGTCCTGCACAGGGGTTGGGGCAATCCCAAGCACAAATCCAGGCTGGGTGGAGAGTGGATTGAAAACAGTCCTGAGGAGGACTTGGGGTGTTGTGTGATGAGAAGCTCAACATGAGCCAACACCGTGCACTGGAGCCCAGAAACCAACCGTGCCCTGGGCTGTGTCACCAGCAGAGTGACCAGCAGGGCCTGGGAGGGGCTTGTCCCCTCTGCTCTGCTCTGGTGAGACCCCCCTGCAGGGCTGGGGCCAGTGCTGGTGTCCCCAGTACAGGACGGACATGGAGCTGTTGGAGAGAGGCCAGAGGATCCATGAAGATGCTGGGAGGGCTGGAGCAGCTCTGCTCTGGAGACAGGCTGGGAGAGTTGGGGTGTTCAGCCTGTCGAAGAGAAGGCTCCAGGGAGACCTTAGAGCAACTTCCAGTGCCTGAAGGGGCTCCAGGAAAGCTGGGGAGGGACTTGGGACAAGGGCAGGGAGGGATAGAATGAGGAGGAATGGATTAAAACTGGAAGAGGGGAGAAGGAGATGAAATCTTAGGAAGAAACGTTTCACTGAGACCCTGGCCCAGGTTGCCCAGGGAAGCTGTGGCTGCCCCATCCCTGGCAGTGTTGAAGGGGGCAGGTTGGATGGGGCTTGGAGCAACCTGGGCTGGTGGGAGGTGTCCCAGCCTGAGATTCTGTGACACTCACTGTGATGCGGCTTTTGTTGTTGATGAGCTTGCTGAAGTGTTCATCCAGGTTCCTCTTGTACTGCCGGACATCAGTCAGTAGCACTGAGAGCTCCTCCTGCAAAGACAGCACCTCTGAAGGACACCTCTGCACCAGCCTCCTGGCAGGCAATGCTGCTCAGCTCCCGAGAAGCACATGGCCCCAAGAAACCATGTTTTGAGCTCTCTCTGAGCTTTCTGGGGCCCTGTATGTCCTGCTGATCTTTTGTCTCTTGATTTGGAGGCTTTGGGGTAACCAGAGGCAGAAGAGCACTCAGAGCAGGCCCCTGATCTGGACACTGCTGACCAAGTGCTCTTGCCAGGAGCACCATGTTTCTGCTCCCATTCCCAGTTCTCTGTATCTCACCCCTTGTGGCAGCTCCACGCCAGGCAAGCAACTGGCAAGTTGGTGGCAGGAGGGTTTCTGGTGCCTCCTGCTCTTATCTGCCCCGTGCCAGGTGCGGAGGGGATGGGTGGCCTCGTGCTTTTCCATTCCTGGGGCTTTCATGTGCTGCTGGGCAGGGGACACCAGCTGTTTGCTCTGCCTGTGCCCTGCCTCCCTGCTCTCCTGCAGCACCTTGCTTCAGCCCTTATCTCCAAACTCTTTTTGATGCTATTTGGCAACAGGCTTGAAAGGTCCCGCCAATGCCCAACCCCCCTGGCTCTCACCACCACAGCTCAGCCACCAAAACCTCTCACCCCTCTCAGCAGGGGATGTGCTTCACCTGAGAAGGGGCTGCCCCCCAGCCCAGGGACCCTGCCTCACACCTGGCTGTGCTGTGTGGCCATGCTCGCCAAAACTGTCACAATTTCCAGTCCATCCCTTGAAGGAGAGGGGACATTTGGCCGGCAAGCATTGCAGGTGCTCTCACCCCCAACCCAGGAGCCCTGGCGGGCTCTGCCTGCCAACCTTCATCCGGCAGAAGGCCGTGGAGATGGGGGTGATCTCGTGCTGGCGGTGGGTGCCGATGGTGCCGCACAGCCCGCAGATCAGCTCCTGGTCGGCCTCGCAGAAGAGGCTGAGGGGGTTGTGATGTGTTGGGCAGGACTCTGGGGTGGGCTCTGCCTCACCCCAGCTCTGCAGCGCCTCGATGACACGGGCCAGCGTGACGTTGGGTGGCGAGGAGCTGCAGTCCACCCTCTGGCGGCACACGGGGCACAGGAGCTGCCCCTCCAGCTCTCCCGAGAGGGACACCACGCAGGACTTGCAGTACGAATGTCCACACTGCAGCATCAGGGGCTCCTTGAAGACCTCCAGGCAGATGGGACACAGCAGCTGGTTCTCCAGCTCGTTGATGCTCATCTTCCGAGCCATCCTGCCACCTGCCCACACAGCAGCACAGACCTGCTCCGGGAAACACAGGCAGGAGGTCAGTCCTGTCCCAGGAACAAAGGAAGTGGAGGTGAGTAGAGGTGGAGCTCAGCACGTGGGGAAGGCAAAGCAGAGAGACAGACACTTCCACCCCCAGCAGCAAAGCCTGAGATGCTTATTTTAACCCAGGATGTGTTTGGCTCTGGAGAGGTGAGACCACTGCTGCCCATGCCAGTTGGATCTGCCTCAGGTGTCAGGAGTCACCACCAGGCTGTTCTCAACTGGGGCCTTTGCCTGGCAGGGCTGTCAGGCTGCAGCCCATGGCAGGGCAGCCCTGCCTGTGTGCCAGGGCTGGGGACAGAGTCAAGAGGGATTTTCTGCTGAAAAATTCCAGTATTGCCCCTGGCCTGTATGAATTCCAACAGATCTCTTTAAAGGGCTCATTGTCTCAGTCCATGGACATCCTCAGAAGGACTGGCATTAGCTCAAGTGATGCGTCTAAGGAAAAGCAGAAAGGAATGCTAAAAAGCACTTTTATCCAGGAGACAGAGACAGCCACCATGCAGCAAACGCCCATGAGGCAGGAGCCAACTGATCCAAGACTTGGGAAGCTGAGACACGGAGCACAGGGCTGGGATTGCAGCTCACCCCTTTGAAACACACCCCGTGCTCCAAGCCAGCACCCCCCAGAGACACAACCCCAAATCCCAGCTTCTCCCACTGGCCCTGGGGCAATGCAGCATTGCCACCCCTGCTGATCCTACCACCGTGGGATGTAACTGCCAAAATCCCAAGCAAGTCAAAGACATCATGTGAAGCTGAAGAAAATAAACCTGAAGCTTATTTTCCTGTAGAGACCTGTATTCTGGTCCTTGACCGACGTGACTTGGTCATTTCCCCAGGGGGGCTGTGACCTGAGCTCAGCTTTTATCACACATTCCTACAGGAGCTTGGTGAACCCAGGAAAGGTTGGACATCAGCCTGTGACCCACCAGGCAGTGTAGGGCCCTGCAGAGAATCAGCTGTAGCTGCTCTCTCTGCCCCCCCAGCAGGTCCCCCCGCAGCCCCAGCCTCCCACCCCGCGTCGCTCACGCACCCGGCACCGGCTCCGCTGCTCCTCCTGACCAACCTGGAGATGTTGCCCCGCTGGGAGGGGCAGACCAGGCAACCCCCTCGGGGGGACAGGGAGCTGAGCTGCTCCCCTCCTGCAGCCGCGGCCCCGCCAGGGAAGTCCCTGCTCGCCCAGCAGAGCCCAGGCAGGCTCTGGTCCCCCTGTCCTGCTGCAGGGACAGTGACACACCCCACAAGGGCCTCCTGCTGCCCCTGACCCACAGCTCTGAGCACACACATCATATGACTGCGGGGCTGGAGCTGTGATAAGAGCAGGGCCGTGTTTGCCTCCCGGAGCAGCCGGGCTCTGAGCCCCACTGCCCCGCCTGGGGAAGCACCTCCAAAACACTTTCTTATCCACTAAAGCTCTTTTTTTTTCCTGGTTGAAACAGTTGGGGGTTTTTTTGGTTGTTGTTGTTTGGTAAAAAATATACAAGTACCTGTCTTTGTCTGCCTGGGCACAAAATGGTTCCTTGTATCACAGAATCACAGAATTGTCAAGGTTGGAAAAGACCTTCAAGATCATCAAGTCCAACCCTCCATCCTACAACCCCCAACCACAAAACCATCTTACGAAACATGACATCTACCCCTTTCTTGAACACCCCCAGAGAGGTGCTCACCTCCAGGTGCCTCTACCACCTCCCTGGGCAGCTCCTCACCTTTAGCTCGCAGGTGTGCTGGGCTCGTGGCCACCCCAGAGCCTTCCTGCCCGGCGGGGCTCTGGGGTGAGCGGGGGGCTCTGGGGATGGGTGGGGCTGCTCAGCCCAGCCCTGCAGAGCCGCCCGGGGTGCTGGGGCGGGGGGAACAGGGGCGGGAGGCACAGGGGGTGATGCCGGCGGTGCCCGCC